AATCTATATATCTTTTGATCCGTAGAAGCCAGATCCAATATTTATGTATATACATATATGATCTACACATCAATACCTTTCAGATGGTATATGTATGTATATATTATATATATATATGTATATATATATATATATGTATATATATATATGTTTATCCGCTTATGTGCCTGTGCAGTATTGTCTTATTACACAGCTGCACAGACTAAACATTTTGACTTGACCAAATTCGTGTCTAATGCTTAAGCTTACCAGAAGCAAATAGTGATAAGAAAAAGACAAGAAAACAAAATCTATTTTTAGAATTCGCTTTCCGATAAGAAGTGCAACTTGGTCAAAATTTTTGTATGCGTTGATCTTTGCTTCACAAGTATATTTCGATTGGAGATTTTGTCTGATAACAACAAAAACAATGGCGCAAACAAACGCTGATACAACGGAGATGTTTTCTACAATTTTGAAGATGTTGGAATTGTTGACGGAAGAAGTAAAAAAGCTTCGCGACGAAGTTCGCGAACTGAAAACTTCCGCCGCAAAGCGAATGGTTGCTCAAAAATAATGTTTGAAAATAGAAGAATAAATATAACAATTAAAAATTAAAAATCATCAAGAATATTCGTAGTGTCTCATTAAAGGATCAAAAAGGTGCTAGTCATGCTTGTTCTATGTTGATTGGAAGTGATTGATTTATTCATTTAAAAATAGCGACAATAATCATTATTTACAATCCCTGATGTAAAATTCTTTTAATTTTCTTTAAAATGGAAGCCCTTGGGTTATTTTTCTGCCGTACGTTATTATAATTTTTTAAGTATTAGATGTGCCTAGATTTATTAAAACAAAATATTCATATCTGGGATTTTTAATATTGGTTGCCATGGGACGTAAACGTGATGCTATTGTGCGCGATTTTTTCGACTTTAATTTCGAAAAAAAATGAATCGAAGTGTAAAATCTGCATCAAAAACATACTGGGCTCAATTTGAGCAGTGAAATTGAAAATATTTAGGCAGATTTTTCAATTTCTAAGCAGCAAATCTATACCATTACGTCCGACAATGGCAAAAATATTTTGAGGGCAATAGAGCATTTAAATGAAGACCCCGAAAGTGCGCTAAGCTCCGAGGATGAAAATGAGGAGCTAGTGCAAGAAGTAAGAATTTTTTTCCATCGCTTCTATACGATGAGCTGCTCACTCCTTGCAACTGGCCGTCAAGGATTTTTTAAATAATGATGAGAGGAGCGAAATTGAGGAAAATCTCCGGCGTCCCTTGGTACATCCGAAATAGGGACAACGAGAGGAACCTGAAGGTCCCCAAGGTCGGAGATGTTCTACAAAACTTGGCAACCAGCTATGTGCAACGCCTTGGAAACCACCCTAACGCATTGGCCAGACAGTAGAACAGCGCAATCGATAGAGAAGACGCCTTAAAAGATGCCACCCAGCCGATTTACCTTCAAGGGTCATAACATAAATGTATATGAATGTAGATAGGAAAATGTAGGATTTTGTCTAACTTGTATATGTGATCATGTGATCTCTTTGTTTTAGTTTTTTCCTATATGTAACTAGATTAAGTTGCCTCAGCGGTAACAGTAAACTCGTTAATACCAAATAAAAATTTGTACAAACAAAAAAAAAAAAAAAAAAAAATGAAAAATTTACGTATGACCATTTTTTCCAATTTTTTTTGGAGACTGTTTTGGGCTTCAATTTTTTTAAACTCATAATAATTATTTGCGGTCCCTGCTCAGAAGTCATCCCAACCAAGAAGTTTGTTGTCTTGGGAAACTTTGTTTTGGTACTGTTGTGAAAAACTTTAAATATACCCTGGAAGAGCAGTGCGAGATCAGCAAAAAGTTGCGAAATTTTACTAGTATGCTTATAGTAAAGTGGAAAAACTGTGGAAGAAATAATGATTTTTTTCTGGATATGCCTCTCTCTGATTCCGAATAAGATTCTAGCCTTTTTTAGAAAAAGTTTATTATATGTTATTTGAAGTTTAAAAATAAAATTATAGTAAATCAAAATATTATACATATTATTAAAAACGGCTATCTTGTTGACAAGAGTGAAGTGTGAAAGCGAATTTGTAAAAGGATTGTAACGTTTTGGGTAAATTACAATCGCATGAAATCGTCGATTCTCCAAAATCAATCTGATTGGTTGAATGAAAAGGAATCGATTCCGATAAGATGCGATGCGCCCAACCAACATCAAAAAATCCTGACCGTGGGCAACCCAAAGCAGATTTTAAAAAAGCTTCTGACCGGGCAAAACGACGTTAAATTGCTAAGCTGTCAAAAACCGGCGAGACTATTACTACCATATTACGCTCATGCAATTCATCTCAACCAACGCTTACAGAATTTAATGTTGATGACGTCTTATCACTCTTTTTTGATACAAATATGAGTAAACATCACTATTGGCTTATTCCTAGTCTTGTTAATAATAAGACTTCTTTCAATTTACTACCAAGTTACGAAAAACTTCTGGCGGCCAAAGCATCATCTTATTCCGAAAATATCAGTGTCAGCGAATCCCAAGCAGAAGTTGAGCTGCAAAGCTTGTTCGACCACACGGCGTTACGAATTGTAAAACTACAAGCTGATGTCCTTGAGTCCATTAGTGATGAAAGCGTGGCCAACTTGATTTTAATTGGCGAGTGAGGATTTGACGGCAGTACTGTTCATTCCGAATATAAACAGAAGAAATTGAACAATAACATTGATGGTTCGAGTTTGTCTGTGACTTCATATGTACCACTGCAATTAATTACTCAAAATATTGATCCCAAGAAACACTAAGTTTTTTTTTTTTTTTTTTTTCCTTGTTACTCCTCTTGGGAGCTTAGGGCTTCTACAAGCGATCTCCATCGGACTCTGTTCGGCGCGGTCTGTTTTATGGAGTCCCAGGAGGTGTTTATCCGGGACATGTCCTGTAGTGTTGTCTGGCGCCAGGTCAGCTTGGGGCGTCCCACTCTCCTACTTCCCTGTGGGTTCCAATCTAGCGCTGTCCTAGCGATGCTGTCGTGGTTTTTCCTAAGAGCGTGGCCAATCCAGTTCCATTTTTTCTTCCTTATTTGTTGGTGGATGGGGACCTCTCCTGTGTCATGCCACAGATCATTGTTGTTTATTCTGGCAGGCCAGAATATGCCGCATATAATTCTGAGGCATTTGTTGACGAATGCTTGTAGTTTCATCAACATTCGTTGGGAGGTCAGCCACGTTTCTGAGCCGTACAACAGTACTGATTTGACACACGCATTGAAGATTCGCAGTTTTGATCTTCTATTTAACTGCGTGTTTCTCCAGATGCGGTGCAATCTTCCAAATGCCGATCTAGCTTTGCTTAGCCGGTTCTCCATATCTTGCTCGGCTCCTCCATTCCCTGTTATTAGGGTGCCAAGGTAGACAAAGCTATCGACGAAGTCAACGCTTTTGCCGCTAATGGTGATGTTGCCTTGATTGGCGTTGTTGACTCGCATTGCTTTTGTTTTGGCGGCATTGATGTTTAGACCCACTGATTTTGCTCGACTTTCGAGGTCATCTGCTTTGGCTTGGATATCCGTGAGTCTATGAGACAAGAGGCAAATGTCGTCTGCGTAGTCCAGGTCTTCCAGGTGTCGGGTGAAGCTCCATATGATCCCGCGTCTGGACTTGCTCACTTCTCTCATGATTTCATCTATTACCAGGTTGAACAGGAGCGGCGATAGGGGGCAACCTTGCTTGACGCCAATGTTTGTCTGGAAGGGTGCACTAATTTTTCCGTTGTGCAGTACCGCCAAGTCCGCATCATCGTACATAGCTTTCACTATGTTTATGATGTTTGTTGGCACTCCCTTCCTTGCAAGTGCCCGCCATATCGCCACTCTGTCTACTGAGTCGAAGGCCTTCTGGAAGTCGATGAACAGGAGGTACAGCGGCGAACGCCATTCCACAGCTTGTTCGGTTATTACGCGTAGGGTGTTGGCTTGGTCTACGCAGCTCCTGTGTGGTCTAAATCCTCCTTGTTCATCCCGAAGTGTTGGCTCAATCTTGTCCATCAGGCGCTCGTTCAGCAGGGTAGCTAAGATCTTATAACTTGTGTTCAGTAATGTAATTCCTCGCCAATTGTTGCAGTCACTGAGGTCTCCTTTCTTAGGTAATTTGATAATGATCCCTTTTTTCCGGGCTTTAGGAACTCGCTCGTTATCCCATATTGCTTCGAAGTGCGGATGCAGTGTTTCGGCTATTAGTTGAGAGTCAGTCTGGAGAAGTTCGGCGGGTATACCGTCATCTCCGGCTGCTTTGTTGCTCTTCAATTTCCTGATCGCATCTCGTATTTCTCTCACAGTGGGAGGCGTGGGCGAGATCCTGGTGTTGGTGGTGTTGGGCTCGATACTTCTGGGTTCTTCCTCATGTGGGCTGCTTGGGTGTTCAGTGTAGCTAATTTCCATGAAGTGTCGTCGCCATCTCTGGATTTGGGCATCGTCGTCCGTGAGAAGTGCACCGTCGGAATCTCGCACTGGCTGGGTTTGCCTTATTTGGTGACATCCGGATAATTTCCCAATAATTTGATACAGCAAGCGCATGTTGTTGGCATTGGCTGCACTTTCCGCACTATCTGCGAGTCTGTTCAATAGGGCTCTCTTTTCGTTTCTGGCTGATTTCTTCACCATCCTGCATAGCTCGCTGTGTTCCGCGCGTGCTCTACAGTCGTGGTCAGCTCTTTGCTTGAGGTTATTCCGTCTGTTGATAAGGTTCCATGTCTCAGTTTATATCCAGTCGATGCGCCTTGGTTGCCTGGTGCCGAGCAACTCCTCAGCGGTGTTCCTCAGTGATCTGCATGTTTGTTCCCATGGGTGCGTTGGTTGTAGTGGCATCAGTTGTTCTCGGATAGGGTGGGGTCGCCAAGACGATGTACGTTTAGTGGTGGTGGTCTGTTTGTGGTTTTATTGACAGTGCGTTTTCGTCTGAGCTTGATTGAGAGCTCTCCGACTACTAATTCGTGGTCACTGTCAATTGACGCGCCTCTCTTGTTGCGTACATCCTTCATCGAGCTCCTTATGTGGGAACACAGTGCCTCCAATGACCATTTGGGATGTCTGGCCTAAGTCGATCAGCCTATCTCCATTATTGCTACGTGAGCCAACGCCGTGCCGACCCATGACTGGTTCCAGTCCGGTGTTGTTGGGGCCGATCTTAGCGTTGAAGTCACCCATGAGAATTTTGATGTCGCCTCTTTGGATCCTTGTGAGTGTGGATGTGAGGGAGTTGTAGAAGTCGTCTTTGATGTCATCGCTGGCGTCTTCCGTCGGGGCATAGCATTGCACGATGGTGATGTGTCTAGCGCTGCATCGGAATCTGGCCATGATGATTCTATCGGATATCGGGTTCCAGGAGATTAGTGTCTGTTTGTATCTTTTGGACACATAAATCCCTACTCCGTTCCTGCCGTCATCATTGTTTCCGCTATGCAACACTGAATTGCCATTTGATGTTGTTGTTGCTCCACTTCCTTTCCATCTCATCTCACTAATGCCAGCAATTGAGATCTGCAATTTGTCCATCTCCAGTTCAAACTGCGCCAGTCTGGATGGTTCCATTAGAGTCCTCACGTTCCATTGTCCAATTCGTGTCCGTTTCGATATGCGAATGGTCGTCATCGGGTTGGGGGGGTGTGATTCATTTCGCTTGCTTCGTTTTCGTTAATCGTTTGTGTTTTCGATCGATCCGGTGATTGGCCGTATGCGACTTATCCCATTGGTGGGGCTGCCACCTTATCGGCCACTGGGCGTGCCGCTTTCGAATCTTTAGCACGTGCACTGTTGCAAACTGAAAAATGTCCAAAGAATTTTTCCAATTGCTCCAGCTCACGCATAAAAGAATCAAAAGTACGAGGTCATAAGGGAGTCATGAGTGGGGATTGAACCCACGACCTCACGGTTAGCGAGCTAGTACACTACCTGCTAGGCTATGAGGCCCCCCAGAAACACTAAGTAATTTGGAAAAATCCTCGACCGTCATCAACACGTTACTGCAGACCAACAAGGTACCAATTCCAAAAAGAAACAACCCAATTAACTTTAAATGAAGCTAAATACTTTAGAGACAAAAAATTTCTGTGCTGTAGCCATATTCATGTAAAGTAGGGGAGAGTGGGGTAATGTCGTCAGTGGGGCAAAGTCGTCACTCGCTATTATTTTAAAAAATATAAGGGCTACCAACCCAATTTTTTTAGCGTAAGTGTATTGCACTATGCCTACATTATCGACGGAGTTTGGTAGAATTAAAGGTTATGTATAATTATTTATTCATCAGAAAGTGTTTCGGAGCCTCAAAAGTAATTTTTCTCCGGCGCAGAACTGTTTTTCTTCCAAGTACATTTTCGATCAAAGAAGTATAAAGGTAAGTTATTATTGTTGAGAAATGTTTGGCGAACACGAGATGGTAGGTTGTGTAACAGCTGATTCGAGTTTCGATTTGTTATTCAAAAAATGTCGCGTGGGGCATTGTCGTCACTCAACGGGTGGGGCAAAGTCGTCACTGTATTATCTCAGACTGAAATACAAACTCGTATCAATTTATTATTGTTTTGTGATTGTTTATGTAAAGTATTAAATATAAAATATAATTTCTTCAAAATGTTCTTCAAACAAAAATAAAATTCTAAAAAAGAGGTCGCCCAAAGAAAAATCTTTAAGAAATTCTGATTTTTGCTTTCTATCCTTCACTTAGATCTGAATGTGTCAAATTTTTGCAAAAAATAGATATAGTGTTCCACTTTTTTATATTTATGAATGTCAATAAATGTGTGTTTGACAAGTTGAAATAGTTTTGTGCACATGGGTACCTATGATATATTTGCATTCATTATTCTATGTGACGACTTTGCCCCAGGGGGTGACGACTTTGCCCCACGATTTTTCAATTTTCCAATTTTGCCTTCTTTCAGATAACAGTTTCGTATTATTAAACAAATGAGAGGATGTCCGAAATACTTACTGCATTTTATAGCCAGATCTTTTCCGAATCCAACCATGTATATTACATGATAAAAATAAGTTATTTTATCAACAAATTTCGCAATTAAAAAAAAAGTGACGACAATGCCCCACTCCCCCCTACTTACGAAATCTATAACAATTTCACATTGTTTGCAATTAACAATGGTTGACGGAAAAGTCTGTAGCACTTTAAGTGAAACATCTACTTGTAAATGCTACATATATGACGCAAAGCCGAACGAAATGAATGATTTGGAAAAATGTTTAAACAAAAAAAATTCACAAACACTCGTATTTTTTTAGTTTTTAAATATTTCTTGCATTTGGCATATAGATTGCATTTAAAAACTTGGCGAATATGTAACCCAGAAGATAAAAAATTTTTTAGAGATAGGAAAACTCAAATTCAAGCAGACCTCCGCGCTCAAATGGGATTACATGTCGACCAACCAACGAGTGGAGGTAGTGGACAGCGTTGCCAAACGTCCCGATTTTGGCGGCACTTCCCGATCTTTAAATTAAAATTAAACGTCCCTGAGGCAGCGCGCAGGAGTGAAAGAGGCGCGTGCGACCGCGACTTCCTCTCTTTCTCTTTCGCTCGTTCCTTATTTTAATTTGCTTATAAATTTCTATTTCTCGAAAATGTACGATTATCTGCGAAAGAATAACGAATGACGTTTGGTTCAGTGCTTAGAAAGCAGTGAGCTTGTAGTGAGTTGCATTGCGTGCGTAATTTAGTTTAATTTCATTAAGCAAACAAAAGTTTAAGTTTTTTACGTAATTTGTTCGTGAATTATTGGAGTTTACTTATTAGAATCGTTTAAAGACGAATGAAACTGATAGTGGTGTTTAATTAATTTTATTGCTCAGAACTGAAAATTTTGCACCCAAGAAGAAAGTCAAACTAGAAAAACATCTCCTGACGAAATACAATACAAATTGGAAGAATGATTATAATTTGTTGTGTAATGTAACGTCGGATCAGTGTAGAGCTTACTGTGTAAAAAAGAGTTCACTTTTTTTGTTGGTAGTGATTTTTATTAAAACACATTTTCTATGGCTATTTGTGCTGTCTGTTACATAATAAAAACATAAATATTTTAAAAAACTTTTGATTATATACGTTTTTTACTATATCCCGCTTTCGACGAAAGAATCCCGCTTTTTTCACTAAAAAAAGTTCAAAAATCCCGACTTGGCAAAAAAAAAATCTGGTAACGCTGGTAGTGGAACTTCTAATAATAGTAATACGGCAAGAACATTTTAAGCGAAACGAAATTGTCTGTTGATATTACAGGATTGGATGAAAATGTTTTAATTAGGTGTGCGACATTACTGCAATTCATGGCATCTGGCAATAAAATCAGTTCGGAAAAATTTGGATTCTTTGCACTTGACACCGCAAAAATGCATATAAAATTGTATCCATGGTATTACCTTCCACCATCCGTTCACAAAGTTCTAGTCCACGGTTCTGAAATTATAAGCTATGCCCTTATTTCGATAGGAGAGTTGTCGGAAGAAGCTGCCGAATCTAAAAACAAGTACATATATAAAAAAATTTCGAGAGTTTCACACTAGCACAAAAAAACATTATTAAGCGGTGTGCTTTTGTTGCTCGAAGAATAAAATAAGTGTTATCTGTGAATTTAAGATTGTTTTAGTTTTGGGGATTACAATTTAACCAACGTTTGCATTAAGAGGTCAAATATTTAATTAAGTCTTGGAAAAAAATTATTTTATGGAAAGTCGCGCCATCCGTTTATATGGAAACTATACGATACGATTTTTATACCCTTGCAGAGCAAAAGGGTATTATAATTTCAGTTATAAGGTGTGTAGTTATTGCACGCATTATATAAAACGGAACGGGCGGGATCGGCCGACTATATCGGATAGCTCCCATACGAGAGAATGAAATAAAAAATTCTCGCGCCGTTGTTTTTGATCAGATCGACTTGAATTCTTCAAGATGGCGTTTTCTAACTACTATTGAATTTCGGATTAAATTTTATCACAATCGGATAACCCTATCATATAGCTGCCAAATAAATTGATAACATCGTTGTTTATTATCCCACGAGCATGATTTTTTGAATATCAAGTTTATTAACAACTCTTATATTGAGAAAAAAATTTCATAAAAATCGGACAACTATATCTTATAGCTGCCATGGAAAGATCGAAAAATCTATATAGAAATAACGGAAATAAAATTATAACATCGTTGTTTTTCATCAGACAAGTATGGTTTTTGGAATATAGAGTTTTTTTACGATTCTTGAATTACGAATTAAATTTGATAAAAATTGGACAGCTATGACATATAGCTCCCATATGATCTATAGTCAAAAATATGGAAAATAAATAGAAAAATCGTCATAGCTTCAATGTTGTTAGGCTTTATGCATTTTGTTCGACATATTTGAGATCTGCAAGGGTTTATAACAGGGGTGCTCAACGCCTATACACTGAGTGCACTTTTGTTTTTGTAGATGCTCTGTGCTTATGGGTAGTGCGCGCATAAGCACCGTGCATATGGGCTTCGATTTGCATGCGAAACAAAAACAATTTTGCTTGTTTCTTCATTACATCTCTATCCGTCGTCACGCTTCGCTGAACGCAATGTATTTTGTTTTTGTTTTTTCCTCGAGCACATGCACTGAAATTTATTTTTCTGTCTGCGTTGGCTTTTGATTTATTTCGTGGTGGACCATCGTAAGTGTTATGTTAAATTTTTTGGCGGATCAAAATGAGTGATGAATTAGAGAGCAGTTTTTTTAGCATAAACTTTAAATGCGAAGTACAATGCGTAAAATGCTTCGTAGTTCTGGAGGTAAAAACTTTTTTTTCTCTCAGTGCACTGCTGCGCCCCAACACAAACGCGCCGCTGCATATGTATATATGTATTCTTGTGGTTGTGTTAGTAAACGCACTGCCATAAGACGAATTTGAGCACCCCTGGTTTATAAGCTTCGGCTTGCCGAAGCTAGTCATCCTTTCTTCCCTGCAGTTCCAAAATAGCTTTTTCCTATATGAAATCCGCGAGGAAGCACCGAGGAACCGGGGTACGAAGGTATGCCCGCACCGAGGAATTGCGCGAGGAATTTTGTATGGGATTCAAGTTTTCTTCATAGGTGCAGCTCTCGATGAACTTTTTGGCGGTTTCATCGAACGATTCCTCGGTGCCTTATACGAATTTTGTATGGAAAAAATTCGTATAAGGCATAGAGGAATTCGGAGCGGAAGTGGAAGCGGGGTTTTCCTCGAGGATCGCCCTTAGGGAAATCATATATGCCAATGTTCAAAATTTCATCCCCAAATTCATATGAAAAACAATATATATATATTTTTTTTATTTATTTTATAAAATACCTTATTTTGTAACATAAGAGATAAGCACATTAAAAATATGAAATTCGAAAGTTTTTGTTTATCATTTATGTAGAGTATTTGCAGGACATCGGCTGTTTTGCGTCCATCTATGGTACAAAAAATATTTTCGTTATTACATATTATATATTACTTTTTTTAATTTAGCGCAAACTTACCTTTCAAACGAATTTATCGGACAAACATGTGTATGGCTTAATCCTAAAAAGATTTAAATAAGTTTGTAGTAAAAAACATAATATTTTTGTAATATTAACGACACTTACATGATTTTTAAACATTTCCGCTTCCCGTTGCACAAATGAAGAAATTTGACAACATATTGTCAACGCACTACGCAAAAGAATGACACAGTTAAATTTTATTTTTCACCCTTTTAGTATACCCTTCTTTTTGGGTGTAACCGACCATAAATGACATAAGTTATATTATATGTATCCACATACATTTGTAATCAATGTTATGGTTACCTCGGTTCCATAATTTAAATAATAATATGTATACATATATATATATATTATATGTTATATTATATTTATATTTGAAGAACTTTAACATCAAAAGAGTATACATAAGTCGAGCGCCCCTCAGCCGTATTTTCCATCGGTAACCAATTTTTTGTTTCTAACGGAGAATGACAACAGTGCAATAAGAAAAACGAAAGAATAGAAGGCAAATTTGGAGTCGGGCCGCCGTCGGGTGCAAGCAACGAAATCGTATTATAAGAGTGAGGAAGAGAGGGAAACTTAGGAATATCCCTTTCCCTTTCCTACACACATGATTGGCAATTGCCGAAATTCACTTGTGAACAGCCAGAACTGCAGGGATGATACAATTATACAAGGTAGTCTCGTCGGCAAAAAGCACTCCCCTATTCATTACTCACCACAAGTGCGAGTGAGAGGAGTCTGCGTAGTAAGTGCGAGTGAAACAACAAAAAAGCTCTTTGCTTAACCCTTAGATTGTGCATGGAGCTTAAATTGTTCATATATAGTAAAACAAGTTGAAGTTTTTTATAATTTAATTTTTAATAGTTTTGAATTTAAAATTAAACGTTGTTTTTGTTTTGAGATAGCTTTTTTTTTTGTTTGGGTTCTTAATTAAAAAAAATTGCACTCTTAAAGTAAAATTGTTTAATATCTAAATTAATGTTTCTTAGCAGCTATTAATAGTTTCTCCTTTACATTTTTTGTTATACTAAAATTATCTGAAACGACATGTCAAAAAACAAAAAAAAGTTTGCAGCCAAGAGCAGAACGACGTCTTTACACAAGGGTTAATACTCTGAAAAAATTCGTCCGCACGCGTGCTCATTCTTCAACAAGCACGAACGCACTGACTAAAAAGCCGAATGAATAGGCAGCCGACGAGACTACCTTGTATAATTCTACCATGGGCTATACCATGGTACAATTATACAAGGTAGTCTCGTCGGCAAAAAGCACTCCCCTATTCATTACTCACCACAAGTGCGAGTGAGAGAAGTCTGCGTAGTAAGTGCGAGTGAAACGACAAAAGAGCTTTTAGTTTAACCCTTAGATTGTGCATGGGGCTTAAATTGCTCATTTATAGTAAAAAGAGTTGAAGTTTTTTATAAATTAATTTTTAATAGTTTTGAATTTAAAATTAAACGTTGTTTTTATTTTTGGATAGTTATTTCTTTGTTTAGGTTCTTAATTTTAAAATAAATGTCAATATTAAAGAAATGTTTGTAATATTTAAATTAATGTTTCTTAGCAGCTATTAATAGTTTCTCCTTTACATTTTTTGTTATACTAAAATTATCTGAAACGACATGTTAAAAAACAAAAAAAGTTTGCAGCCAAGGGCAGAACGACATCTTTGCACAAGGGTTAATACTCTGAAAAAATTCGTCCGCACGCGTGCTCATCCTTCAACAAGCACGAACGCACTGACTAAAAAGCCGAACGATTAGGCAGCCGACGAGACTACCTTGTATAATTGTACCATGGGCTATACTAGAGCTGCAAAACAATCGATGGTACCATCGATAATATCGATGGTTGGCCGCCGGTCACCGACTTCGATATTTTTCAGACTATCACGATAGTTTTACAAAAAATTCCCATCACTTGGACTTCGAACGAAAAAGAAGGTACGCATATTTTGCACACAAAAAATTTAATATATACTAATTTTCTCTACTTTTCGACAGAAATATTCAGATTGGTGGTTCCGGTGTTGTGGTTCTATAAGGAAGTTCCTTAAAAATGGATGGCGGTAAGTGGATGGCAAAGATATTAAGAGATTAAATTCATATAGATTCTTCATGAAACTATAGGTGGAAACAAGGATGTGGAGGATGATGTGGAAATCGTGGAAATAGCAAAGTCGATAAGAAAGGTCAACCGACTTGGAAGTTCGGTGTGGGATTTCTTTGAGAAGACCAAGGATGAAAAGAAAGCCACTTGCCGGATCTGTAAAAAAACGTATAAGATGCCCCAACTGGCTATAAGCGCTAAGCAGGGGCTCTGCATTCCGGCAACCTTGACAGAATCGGAAAGGATGTTTTCCAAAGCGGGCCTAACAATTTGTGACCGACGTGCGTCTCTAAAGCCAAAAACCGTCCACAAACTGTTATTTATGAACAAAAATTGGTTTTTAACCAAAGATATATAATTTAATTTCTTCTTCAATATATGAATAAAAAAGATCTCATTTGAATTTAAACTAAATGCATTTTTAATTAAAATGGGTATTTATGTAAAACCAATATAATAGGGATATTCCCGAAAAAATTATTTTAAGTATGTTGGTTTTACATGAATACCCCTAATGTTTACATATGAGCGATAGTATCGAGGTTTAGTCCGCAAAAAATCAAAACTATCGATGGGGCTACTATCGATGTTTTTGCAGCTCTAGGCTATACCATGGTAAAATTACACTGTGCGACAAAATTTAACAAAATCTTTGTTTAAGTTACTTTTTTGATTGTTTTCGGTTAAGGTGCATAAATTATGCACAAAAATATCTATGCCACCTTTTAAGTGATACGATTTCTTTTTTCATGGTAAATTTTATGAAGTTATTATTATGAAAATAATTAACACAAAATATTATTTTTTTTACTTCCAATAAACTATTATTTTTTTTAAAAGTGAATTTTTTTCCTGATTTTTTTTGGCTTTTTCAGAGGTATCCTCGCGTAACAAGTTCCATACAAAAACGCCCAGAGTATAGAGCTGGATGAAAAAAATTATAAAGCATTGTTATAAAAGCCTAACGGTATATTTGCTTAATACATTTTAATTAATAGGTATTGAACTTGCATGAGCGTTTATAACGGTAAAAAAATATTTTCCCAATATGTGATTATAAGGCTGTGAAATAGGCAAAAACGAGCGTTTTTGGGACATTTGAGTGTGCGTAAAATCTGATTGGCTATTGATATTAACAAATCCACAAACTTATATTCTTATTTTGATTAGTAGAAGTGAAAAAAAAGAAAAAATCAACTTAAACATTTTTTTGTCGCACATTTTCCGTAATTTTTGTTTTTTTCTTTTTTTACCCAAAGCTGCCCTTTATTACTCGCTCCCATATTGTTTAACTTTTCAAAAATTTTTGTGCAATATTACATGTTACGCATTGTATGTGCTTGCTACAATAATTGCAACAATTATTTTTCATAGGCACACAAGGGTTAAAGTTTTAAGAAAAAATCGTCCGCGAACGACCTCTCTCTTCGAAATCCCGAGCGCACTGAAGTTCAGTTTTTTTTTTGTTATACTAAAATTATCTGAAATGACATGTTAAAAAAAACAAAAAAAGTTTGCAACCAAGGGCAGAACGACATCTTTGTACAAGGGTTAATACTCTAAAAAAATTCGTCCGCACGCGTGCTCATCCTTCAACAAGCACGGTTAAGAGCTGCTTTATCTCGGGGATTTCGACTTTGCTGCCAAACTCTTCGTAGACGACGTTTTATTCTTAGCTGATGTGTTATTTCATCAGAGTACTGGTGTCCATCTCTTCTCGGTCGGTGTGGGTGCTCTGGGCTAGTGTGACGCGGAACAGTGCAAAGGTTAGCTGCCTCATGGATGTTGCGTGTGAACATTTCCACTGCTTCTTCAATTTCTTCACCAGAATTCAGCACAAGGTTGGGATTAAGCCTCTCCTCTAGAGTTGCTTTGAAAATATCAACGTTCGAGCTTTTTCTTAACAACCTAGTTGTTCGTGACGTGTTCAGTATGGGCACGTTTATTTTTAGTAGTACAGCGCAGTGGTCAGATAGCAGGTCCGGATCGTTCTCGTATGTATTAGGTTTCTGTTTACTCCGCAAGACACTGCAAAATCTAGAACATCGGGCACTTTGTTCGGGTCCGTTGGCCAGTAGGTTGGATTTCCAGATGAATGTGTAGTGAGGTTCATTGAATGAATACATGATAAAAGTGCAATGCCTTTCGGATTGCATAGTCTGGATCCCCACCATGTATTTTTTGCATTAAAATCGCCTCCAATTAAGAACCTGCGACCCATTTGTAAGAAGATTTGGGTAAACATATCTGACGTTATGATGTGCCTAGGTGGTGCATACGCTGCTGCCAGTACCAGACTTTCAGATGGAGTGTCGATCGACATTACTGCTGCTTGAAACCAATGCTCAATAATAGGGTTACGTTCTGAGTATTTAATATTCGATTTTATGATTACTGCTGCACCACCTCTTGCGTTGCCACTAGGATGGTTGGCGTGAATTGTATTATATCCATTTATGTTAAAGTAAGAAATGTCAGTGAAGTGAGTTTTGGAGACTAATAAAACATCAATGTTGTTTCTTTTGATGTACAATTCAACTTCGGGCCTACTCTTACATAGGCCGTTAGCATTCCAGAGTACCAATTTGAGATCTATTTGCATAATGCAGATAGGATCGCGTTCATCATTTGCGTCATCTGCATAAATTGTGTTTGCATGAGTTGCATCATTGATTGGATCTGGGCAACTAATGATTTATCTGACTCACTAGAAGTGTCCTTTGGTGTGTTAGCATGACCAGCTGCTATATTGACGTAGGTGAAGGTATCATTGGTTTGTTGGTTAGTGTTCGAATCTGTCATACCCGAAGGCGGAGGCCGAGCATCGAATTTACGTAATGGTTTCTTAGGTTTTCCATGGTCTCGCATTTCTACAGCAGCTTTGTAAACCCTACAACCTCTGTAGGAAGCGGTATGGCGGTCTCCGCAGTGGACGCATTTAGCTGGATCTTCGCGAGGTTTGGTGCAGTCAGATGTCTTATGGTTGTTACCACATTTAACGCAATGGTACGACTTGCGGCAATAGCTTTGAGTGTGGCCAAACTCTTGACACCTATGACATTGAATGATGTCGTTGAACTTTTTAGGTGGCTCAATGCTGACAATTGCATTGCACAGTCTTTTGAAAAACATAGCAATCGGGGCCTTTGTAATATGATTCTTAGCGTTGGTTATGTGGCGCACAGAGTGGCCTATTTTACTCAGTGCATGTCTTATATGTTCTAGTGGCGTGCTGTGATGGAGGTTTCTTATGAGTGCTCTATAAGCCCTTTCCTGCTTGAGCTGTTAAGTGTGAAACTCTACCTTTTTTAGCGTTAGCCAGTTGACAATACTTCTGTAGTTTGCTTCGCTATTAGCCATTAACCGGACTTGACCGTCGCGGCAAGCTTTGTAGATGTAGCCTTCGCTACTTAACCATCCTTTCGTATATTTCCTTTAACTATAGCCCAATATCTTTCGATGGGACGAAGCTCTAGACAGTTTGGTGGATTCTCCTCTTTTGACACAAAATGAAAACCTTTTGAATCAAGTAACAACGGTGTTGAACCGGCATAGTGCGCTGACGCTAGATCTGGACAAAATATCTTGGAGGTATTGTGCTTTTGATGAAAAGGTACCAGACCCATTTTCAAACACTCCTTCATATAAACATCAGCGATTATTGCGCCTTTCGTGAAAAATGGGCTGGTTCTTAAGCTACAGGAACAAATACCCTGCCATATGAGGACAAATTTAATTTTTTGATACTGAGTCGTCGACAGTCCCGCCTTTGGCTTTTGTGTAAAATTGGGGACCGGGTAAAGTTTTTGAATCCAATTTTACATACAGTGGTGGCCGTAAGTATTTTTTGAAGGTGACAATGTCGGAAAAAATTTGTATGGAAAAGAGAAAAATATGGCTGAAATGCGTATTTCTAGTCATTTTCAAAAAATCACTAAAAATAGAAAAAAATTATTTTTGAAAAAAATTTTTTGCAGTTCCTATTATTTTTGTTTAAAGAAACTTTTTGCATCCAAAAATTTTAGTTTTGAAGCCGAGGGAAAAAGTTTTTTTTGACTTTTTTGTTTAAAATTACCCTTTTCAATAAATATCGAATGAGTTGAGAAAAGTATGGTATCATTCAAACGGCATTTGAATTACCTTTCCATTGATACCAAAAGTTAAAAGAAGCAAGTTCAGGTATCGAGTATATTTCACTTTTATTTTGACAAAATACTTACAGCCACCACTGTATGTTTCATCATCCATAATAATTGCATTGCACTGCATCACTCAGCAAGCGATCATAAAGCTTTCGCTCCCTCGTTTTTCCAACGTCTCAGACTTCTTTTTGGACCTTCTTGTTAAAATTTTTTTTTTGCTTTACTCTTTAATTTTGCACCATAGATATAGTTTCCGCCTTTTTTGCCAATTTGATATGGGTCAATATTTAATGGTTAAGGACAATACTTTTATTCAATATTTTTATTACTTGAAAGTTTCTTTCTTCCACTTTTTGGCAAATCCTTTATGGAAGATATATTCCCAAACTTTTAAGCAATGTTTTTAACGCTATTAACGTTAACATTGCACTATGGTTTTTTTTTCGATTTTATTGGCATAAACTCTAATTTTAAACCTATTGAATTGCAATTTGGGTTGAATACATTTTTTAAGCCCCCAAGATGACCTACCAAGTTTCAAATAATTTGGGGCACTATTTCATATAGCTGCCATTTAACCGATCTGGCCGACATACAAAAAAGCTCCATTAAACATTTTTATTTCTTATTTTCTTTATACAGCCGAATCCCGATAATTCGTACCCCGCTAAATCGAAAATCGCGATAATTCGTAAAAAAAAATCTGTTCCCTTGAAAAAAAATCCCTTGAAAAAAATCTCGATAAATCGAATTCCCGTCTAATTCGTAAAAAAAGTGATCCCCTTGCCATTTCGAATTATCGGGACTCGACTGTATTATATTAAAAAAAAAAAAACAATTATCCAAGATCACATTTTAGTATTCATCTCCATTATTAGTGCTTCAATCTGAAAGTAAAGATACATTTTACAAAATTTTAAATAAGTTTGGTTATGTTACTTACTATAGAAGTTACTCAATTTTCTTTTTTGATTTTTTCGAAAACGTGTGGTTTCGGACAAAAATGGTTAGTTTCTCATTAATCTGCACACTTTGGTTAATAGTTTCTCATTTACAACTTTTTGCAACACTTTGCCATGCAAAAGTACTAATTAGAGTTGCCGCGAATATTCGGCAAGTATTCGGTATTCGGCCTATTC